CCTAGCCATGAATCATGGAATGTGCTAATTCCAGACATTATACATTGTTTTTGCCTCTGTAATCCACTTGCTATCTTGGGTCACCTGGTAACTGCTGAGTTCAGCTTTCTTACTGTACTTGTTATGGCTAGGGAGTTGACTAATTTTAAAATTACAAAGTTGATTGCCAAGTTATATGACTGTATCACTTGTCTGTATGATTGGTTGTTGATTAATAGATTCAAAGTTCTGCTATGTTGTACAAACCTGATTGGTTCACAAATGTCCTGTTTGAATAATATTTCTTATATCCTATAAAAACTCTGATCTGACAATCATCAGGGCTGCTTCTATTCCCGAGATAGCCCGGCTGCCGGCCGGTCGAAAATTAAAATTTACCTTGCTACTTTTCTTAAAGTGGTGTTGGTGATTTTTTTACGAACTCTGTCCTATAACAAGGATAGCTGTGACATCAGCCCACATACCTTAAGCCCCTTGTCCCATTTCCTCAGGAGCTATTCACTTCACTAATTTAGAATGTAGGCCCTGCCTACATATGTCTCTGGGGGTTCCATCTGCCCATGATTCAGTAGGACCAGTGTCCTAAGATGACCAGTATTGGGGCTGGAGACGTGGGGTAGCAGTTGAGAGCTCTTGATGCTCTTCCAGAGGACCTGAGTGTTCTAGTTTGTTTCTTCATTGCTATGACAAAATACTCTGACCAGTACCAACTTGAGGAGGAAAGGGTTTATTTAGCTTACATCTCCCAGGTCACAGTTCATCAGGGAGCCCAAGGTAGGAACTCAGGGAAAGAACCTGGAGGCAGGAGCTGGAGCCCAGACCATAGAGGAATGCTGCTTACTGGCTTGCTCTCCTAGCCCCTGCTCAGCCTGCTTTCTTATGACACACATGCCCACTTGCCCAGGGGTGGCACCACTCACAGGAGTGGGTCTGGGCCTTCCCACATCGCTCAACAATCAAGAAGGTGCCCCATGGACATGACCACAGGCCAGTCCAATGAAGGCAATTCTCCAATTGAGGCTCCCTCAACCCAGGTGTGTCAAGTTGACACTAAAGCTATCCAGCATGCTGAGTTTGGTTCCTAGCACCACATTGGGAAGCTCACAACTGCCTGTAACTCCTGGTCCAGGGGATCTGACTTCCTCTTCTGGCCCCTGTGGGTACCTACACTCATGCACATATACACATGCACACACATACACATAATTAAAAATCAAATATTCAAAAAAGATGACCAGTATCCTTTTGAATACAAAGACGGGCATTCATAGAGACAAGACTATGAAGAGACACAGGGAAAGACACCCAACTGCACACCATGGCTTCAGATTTCTGGTCTCCAGAACAGTACTTTAAAACACCCAGTGGGCCAGGCATGCTGATGCACCCCTTTAATCCCAGTACTTGGTGGCAAAGATGGTGCATACTTGCCTTCACTTAGACCATAGTTCATGGCTAAGAGCATTATTCTGAGCCAGTTGTTGGGGGCAGGGGAGGAAGCCCAGGATTTGGGAGACAGAGGCAGGTGTTTCTCTGTGAGGTAGAGGCCAACTCAGGCTATATAATGAGTTCCAGACCAGGCCATCTGAGGCTACAGGGAGACCCTGTCTCTAATTAATTAATTAATTAATTAAAGACTTTTTAAACCACCCAGTGGGATTTTGATGAAAGTCCAGAAAACTTTCACAATAGTCCTAGCTTGTCAATGATTTGATTTTTCTATGACTTCTGTTACCTGCAGTCAACTCTGGCCCAAAAATAATAATGGAAAACTTCAGAATAAAAGATTCATAAATTTTAAATCACAAGTCCTCCACAGTAGCATGATGGAATCTTGCACCATCCCAACCCATCCTGTCCCAGATGTGAATTATTCTGTTTCCATGCTCTGTATACACTGCCTCCTCATTAGTCTCTTAGTAGCTCTTTGGATTATCAGACTGAATGGAGGGATCACAGAGCTTATGTTCAAGTAATGCTTATGTAGTAGCCTAGCATTACTTCACAATTCCCAAACCATTCACCCATTTCATCCATTTGATCCAATTCACACTGGATCACCTCACATAATTACCAAAAGGATGTATATATTATAGTACCACAGGCTTTTTTTTTTGAGACAGAGTCCCATATATCTGGCCTCACTATGTAGCTGAGGATGACTGAACTTTTGATCCTCCTGCCTCCACCTCCCAAGTGCTAGAATTACAAACATTCACCATCGCACTCAGTTTATGAGGCACTGGGGATAGAACCAGGTGTGCTGGTTAGCTTTAGTTATTAACTTGACACACCTGGAAAGAGAGAGCCTCGTCTAAAGAATTCCTCCAATGTATCGGCCTATGTCCATGTCTGTGGGGCATTTTCTTCACCACTAATTGATGTAGCAGAGCCCAGACCTCTATGGGTGGTACCATCCCTGAGCAGGAGGGCCTGGACTGTATAAGAAAAGTAGCTGAGTAAGCCAGGGGGAAACAAGTCAGTAAACAGCATTCTTCCATGCCCCCTGATTCAGTGCCTGCCTGAGCTCCTGCCCTAGCTCCCTCCATGATGAACTGTAAGCTGTAAGGTGAAATAAACCCTCTTGTTCCCAAGGTGGTTGGGGTTTGTCAGTGGTATATCACAGCAATAGAGAAACAAACTAGAACATGAGGGCTTCATGTTTGCTAGACAAGCACTCTACCAACCAGCCCACATCCCCAGGCCCCCAGTAGACTATTTTGACAAACCACATTCACAGAACTTTTATTAGAATATTGTGATGACTGTTTTGTGTTTTGTTATTGCTTTAATTTCTTGCTGTGCCTAATCTAGAAGTTAAACTTTTGTTTGTATGTATATGTATATGTTCATGTGTGTGTGTGTATGTATTGGGAAAATATAGTGCAGACATTAGAGTTAAGTATTATCCACAGTCTCACAGTTCCCACTGGGAGACTCAGAATATGTCCCCTGAAGATAAGGAGTAAACTACTATGCAGCAGTAAAATCTCTTCCTGGTCTTCTTGGAATACCCACTCTGAGGACAGCCAGCACCATGTGAGTCCAGTTGCCTGAGAGTTTCACTCTAGGGAGGTCAAATGTAGGCACTATCTATGGACAACAGCTCCAGTTAAACTTCCAACTAAGAGCCCACTGGTCTGACATGTCCGTGAGCAATCTCAGGCATCAGTCTAGAGGAGCCTTTGAATGGCCACAACACAGACAGTCTGTGACAGAAACTATCTCTGAGACTCCAGACAGATTCCTAGCCAGCCCTTCCCAACACAGAGCTATAGATGCATGAGTGAAGTGAACTGTTGCTTTCAGCTAGGACCTTAAGGTGATTTGCTACACAAGATAGCAACCAGAATGCCTGCCCTTTCCCCTGACATCTCTTGCCACTAGCTAGGACACAGATCTGGTGATGGTAAGCCATCTTTAAGCTTGTAGAATAAGGTTCAGGGAGGCTATAATGTAGGAGTCTGGGCCCTCTAAAGTCTTCTTGGAACAGCATTACCAACATCCCAGATGCCCCTCTAATTTTATACAAGAGATGAAGGTGAAGAAATGGCTCAGTGGTTAAGTGCACTGGGTGTTCTTGTAGAGGACCTGGGTTCAGTTCCCAGAACCCACATGGTGGCTAACAACCATCTGTAATTTCAGTTCCAGTGAATTCAACACCCTCTTCTGGCCTCCAAGGGTACTGCATGCATGTGGTGCACTTACATACATGCAGACAAAATATTCATAAATAAATAAAACATTTTTAAAATTTTTTATAGAAGAGAGAAATTTGCCTTAAGTCACTGCTAATTCTGTTTTTAAAGATATCTAAGGTATGGGAACATATCTCAATGGTGCAGTGCTTGTCTAGTGTGTGTGTGTGTGTGTGTGTGTGTGTGTGTGTATGTGTGTGTGTGGCCCTGGTTCCATGCCCAACACCCCCCAACACACACACACACACACACACACACACACACACACACAAGAGAGAGAGAGAGAGAGAGAGAGCCTCAAATCAATACAGATCAATATCCTAGTGTAAAACACATATCTAATGGTCTACCACATAAAGAAGTGATGATTGGGGCCAGCGAGATGGCTTAGTGGGTAAAAGGGCCTGCTGCCCAACAGTTTAAGCCTGAGGACCTGAGTTCAATCCCTGGAGCTCAAGTAAAGGTAGAAACAGAGACTTGACTCTACAAAATTATTCTCTTGACAATACAGATCAATATCCTAGTGTAAAACACATATCTAATGGTCTACCACATAAAGAAGTGATGATTGGGGCCAGCGAGATGGCTTAGTGGGTAAAAGGGCCTGCTGCCCAACAGTTTAAGCCTGAGGACCTGAGTTCAATCCCTGGAGCTCAAGTAAAGGTAGAAACAGAGACTTGACTCTACAAAATTATTCTCTTGACACAAATATCATAAACAACCATAATAAATAGATTTTTTTTTAAATAAAGAAGTGGTTTTTGGTGGCCAGGCGTGGTGGCACACGCCTTTAAACCCAGCACTCAAGAGGCAGAGACAGGCAGATCTCTGTGCGGTCCAGACCAGCCTGGTCTACATAATGAGTTCCAGGCCAGTTGGGGCTACAGAAAGACCCTGTCTCAAAAGACCAAAAAGAAGTGTGTTTTGAAAGGGAACTCTTGTTGTTGTTTTTCTTACATGTACATTCCCTCTAGCTCTTACATTGGTTGAATTGATCAGCAGCAGATTACACACCTGCTTACAACTCCTCTGAGTGAACAGGAAGGGAACCCATATCACTAATGACCAACTGGACATGTCACCTGAGCACAAACTGTCTGTGGCCACACATGATTCACACCAGGTCTCTTGCCTTCATTAACCTCAAACTGACCTCATCTACCCTAGGCAGAACATCAGACAAGGGCCCATGAACACCAGCACCCAGAAACCCAGCCCTTTGCACCTCAGCTGCATGATGAACCTAAGATCAAGACAGCCACTGCAAGTTTGAGGCAGAGGAGGAAAACAGAGTACATTGGGGTGGGGGAGGGGTCTGGGAAAATGGCAATGCTGGTGGGAGAGGAAGCAGAGAGACTAACTCTACCCTGAGAATCCAGGAACAGTTTTTAGGAGGTAACCACTGAGCAGGAGGTGTTTTCCATGCAGGAGAGAGGGAAAGGGCTGTGTAGGCAGGGTAGATGGAGCATCAGAATCCGAACAATCTGTGACATACCCAGGTCCCTGACCTTGTCTACTCCCCTTCTCCTTTCTGGCCCTGTGATGCTGAAGGGCAGCCCTGGGAAAGTCGATGTGGGAGCACAATGGTCCCCTGTGCTGGTGATGTCACAAGAGAGTCCTTCTGCAGCTGTTAGAGTCTTTTCACCCCTGCCCCTGCTCCTGCCTGCCCCCCCCCCACACACAGAGTGGTTCCATCCAGCCTTCCTGCCTCTGCTTTTGGGGCCTTGGCTTCAACCAGATCCCCTTCCCTGATTCCCCAGCTACCTGCTCAGGCAGGCCCGCTCACCTAGAAACCTAGACAGAAGAAGGGACACATACTTTCCTCAAGAGGGCCCCCAGACCTAGAAGGGGGACAGGACACAGAAATATAGATGGACTTCTTAATGAACACATGATAGCCAGGTGGCCAGAAAGGGCAGAAAGAGCACAGGTCAGGGCCAATCAAAATGGCAGAGGACTCAGGTTAAGCTACAGTTTAACCACTAAACTGTCCGGGGCCAGGGGTGGGGGGCAGTTAGTGACAGTGAGCATGTATTCTGCAAGGTGGGGAATTCTGGCTGCTGATGAGGGAATGAAGACCTCCACACCCCCACTGCTCCTCCTACTCAGAGAATGGGAAAGTGACCTACCTCTTCACCCAGTGCACCCATGTCACCCCTCAAATGCCTCTTTTTATAAGATTTGCCTTTATTCTCAATTATGTGTATATTTGTGTGTCTGTGTCAGTTCATGCATGTGAGTGCAATGCCTTCAGAGAGCATTGAATCCCCTGGAGCTGGAGTTATAGGCAGTTGTGAGCTGCCAGAAAGGTGCTGGGAATCACATTCTGGTCCCCTGAAAGAGCAGCAAGCACTCTTAAAGCTGAGCCAGCTCTCCAGTGTCCCCTCAAAGTCCTTCTCCTCTACAGTCCCAACCTAGATCCCATCCTCATATCCAGGCCCCATAGCTGGACATGGGAACTCTACCCCACTCTGACATCAGGGATGGTGCCTAGCCCTTTCCCCTAGCCACCCTCAAACTCCTCTCCACCCTGCCCAATTTTCAAGAATCCCCTCCACCTGCTTTCCCACGCCGCTCTCCAGTTCCTCCCCAGGTCTTTTGGGCACTCTCCAGCCCCAGGCTGAAGTGTCTGGGTTGAGCTCCCTCATCCTGCCCCTGCCTCATCCTGGGTGCTGTTTATCCTAGGTACCAGTTTTTCCTCCAGCCCAGGTGCCTCCAACTCTCCACTCTCACCTCCAGGAAGGTGAAAAGGATGAACATACAAACACGGACGTGCAGTTTCTGTGACATTTGCTCTTTATTTGGAGACTGGGAAATTAACACACATAGCCCTCCAGCCCTGGCGCCCAGGACACCAAGATTTGGGCAGAGGGTCGGCACACAAAACCAAACATGCAAATGAAGTTAGTGTAGTTAGCACATCTCGCTGGAGTCCTTGGGGATCTTCACCATGGGTAGGCACCTTCTGGCCTGCAAGAAGAAAAGGACAAGAATTGAATGGGGGTGGGGGTGGCAGCACTAGGGGAGACTTGTAAGTAATGGGGGCCAGGCCACTCCCCAGGGAACATGTGTGGTCAGGGGGACATTTTTACCGAGACCTGACGGGGAGGTCCTCGCTGTCATTGGGGAAGAGCAGTTTAGAGAACAGAGCCTCCTGGATGTCGCGTTTTCCATACCTGGGGTCAGGGCCACAAAGGGGCGTGGTCAGTCTCCAGGTGGAGCTGGGCGGAGGGCGCCCCCCACCCCAAGGGGCAGGGTCCCTCCCGCTCATGCGCTCACCTCTGTCGGGTGACCAGGTTGAGGTAGTGGCGCAGGGAGGCATAGTAGCGACTCAGCTCCTCCGGGGAGGCATCATCCCCCGGAGCCTCGGGTTTGGAGGGGTAGGCGTCAACCAGCGCTCCCAGGCAGGCGAGCAGGGCCAGCAGCACTGCGGCCAGGGCGGGCCACGGCCTGCGCACGGTCACCATCTAGGAAGGGGGCATTAGAGAGTGTCATCCTGAGCCTCGACCCTCGACGGTGAGAGGCTGCAGCGGCCGTCAGGTCCATATCCCGATGACCTATTCGTCTCAGCCTCTGGCTCGCCGTTTCTTCCCGGACATCTCTGGCCTCAGTTTCCTCATCTGTCAGAGAGCCATAAGCCCTGCCTGCCTCCGCATTCCCGCTGCTGCCCAAAGAGGTAGATAAGGAAAGAAAATCCTGCTGGTCCAGGCTTCTCCTCACCTTGGAGGCACTCTGCCCATCCAGCTTCCAGCCATTCAGGCCCAGTTTCCACCACCCCGGCCTCAGTTTCCCCACAAAAACAGCTAGGTACCAGACAATTCCTGGGCCCCAGTCACTCACAGCGACAGCTCCTGAAGCGAGATGAGCAGGAGTTGGAAGGCGAGGAGTCTTGGCTGGACCGCTACAGGCCGCGGGACTTATATCCCTCCAGGAAAGGGAGGGGGAGTCCAGGGGAGGGGAGTCAGCAGGGGAGGGCCTGCCTCCTCCCTCCCTTCTCCACCCCTGCCAGTCGCTGACTTCACACCCAGCCGGGAGGTGATGTCTCCACCTTGCAGGAGCTGAGGGGGCGGCTGTCTCCTCGGGCTCAGGGTCCCTCTGGAGGGGTGCTTTGCCTGAACTCCATGTTCACTCACGCGGATCCCGCAAGGAAGTGAATCCAGACTCCTGGGGCAAGGCCAGGGATGAGATTTCATCTTCCCTAGCCTGTTCTTAGAAAGGGATGGAGAAAGGGGAGACAGGATTCCTTCAGCCTGTGAGACTTGTGACAATTCTTTCTAAGAAGCAGCCCTTTCCAGCTTCTGTTTGGCAGCACCTTGGAGAAGGGCCCAGGCCCGACCACACCTATGGGGGAAGACTTTCTAATTCTAGCAGGGGGGAGGGGGGCATGTGACCTTGACTCCTGAAGGGATTATGATGTTCTGAGGCTGTAGGCTGTGGCCTCTCTGGACATTCTCTCATGTCCTCTATCCATTGAAAGAGAGACAGGAGGAAACAAAAGCCAGTCCCTTTCTAGAAGCAGCTGCATCAGCCACCTGTGCTTTCCAGCCTGAAACAGACAGACCTGGGACCAGCTGTGCACACCTGACATAGAGCACCCTCCCAAGGCAGAGCCCCACCTTCAGATGCCTCTGAAGCTAAGTGGTACCAGCTCTTGTGACTGTCCCTAGCCCATTACAGCCATCACTGGGCTCTAGGGCTAATGAGGGAAGAAGAGAGTCAAAGACTGTTACTTTTTTTGTTTTTATTTTATGTGTATGTGTATATGTAAGCACATGTGTGTAAGTGCACCATGTCATACAATGCCTGCAGAGGTCAGAAGAGGGCAACGGATCCCCTGAAACTGGAGTTACAGACGGTTGTTAGCTGCCATGTGAGAGCTGGGAATCAAATTCGGGTCCTCTGCAAGAGCAGCCAGTGCTCTTAACCACTGAGCCATCTCTCCACCCTCAACTGGTATTTCTTAAGTACCTATTTTGCACTGTGTAATACTTCTTACACATCAATGCTCAGGGTGTACCCATTTTCCAGGTGAAAAAACTGAAGCTCTGAGGGGTCACCCATTGTTCAAACAGAAAAAAAAAAAAAAAGGGTTGACAGATCTCAGGAAGAGGCTCCCTCAATCCTGAGGGAGACAGGCTCAGCACCTGGAACAACCTTGAGGCTTAGGAGGTGCATGTGGAAGCAGGGGATGAAAGGCTAAGTCTAGGGCCACCACTCACTCCAAGAGCCTGAGTAGGGGAAGAACCCCAGACCATCAACCCCATCAGACCCACCTGCTTCATCAAGAAGAGAGGGTTGTCAAGGAATACCCCATAAAGACCTTTCCAGTTCTCTCTTCCTAGTCCGGCCAGAGCCTCCAATACTTCCAGCTCATGGAGGCAGGAGCCATCTCGCCCAGGCTCCTGGTTACAGGCCAGCCCCTCCACTCTCCAGGACAGATGGCTATGAGTACTATTTTTAGAACTCACCTGAGCTGGGGCATCCGGGGCTCCTTCAATCACCTTTTTATGGGTTCAGTCATCTGCACTCTCCGGAAATGGATCCTTATCAGCCAGGTGGGTCCCATGAGCCCCACGCAACCCAAGAAGCACCAAAGCTCCTTGCTGAGCATGGAGTCAGAAGATGACATCAGGACAAAGGGGCATAGGCCCCACCCTTGAAGGAAGGAGAAAGACCATTCTTAGGGAGTCCACATATGAAGGTCAAGGCACAGCCTCTGTCCTTCAGGACCCTGACATTTCAGAGGAGAGTGGGACCAAATCCTTAGTGATCCCCAGTCTTTAAAGTTCCCAGAACAGGTTCAGAGAGAAGTGCTTGTGTCTCATTTGGAGAGGAGACAGCAGAAGTAAAATAATTTTACTACCCTGTAGAAAGCCAAAGGCTATGGAAAGACAAGACAGGACAGGGACTCAGGAGAGGGCAACATAGGCACTGGTTAGGACAGCCATGATCATAGAGGTCAGAGCCTAGACAAAGACTCTGCAGACTAAAAGGGACAGGGACAGGGAGGTGCTAGTGCACTGACTCCAGACAGAGAGATAAAGGAGCTTGTGAAAAGTGCAGAGGAATCCTTGATCCCCAGACACTGCCCCCAGTCCCCTGCCTTGGGAAACACAAGGTCTGAGGACAGATAAGAGGAGAGGAGAAAAGATGGAGAAACTAGAAGGCATGAAGGAAGGCCAAGATTCGGTGTGTCAAAGCAAGCTGAACCTGAGGGAGTCCTTCAGTGTGGACCAGGAGCCAGCCTCCCCCTCCTCACAAGTCCACCTTATGCATCTTAGTGCTCTCTCCAAATCCATGCCCCAATTACAGGGCAAGCAGACTATCCATTAATCACCACCTCCTCATTGGAGATTTAATTAACTGTTGATTAGTAGGGAAGATGTCTCAGACCTTGATCAATGGGCCCTGCTGCACCCTCCACATGCCCACCGTCATCATTGACCCATGACTCAGTCTCTATAAGACGTGACTGGGAACTGGGGGGGACTGACATCTGTGAGGGGAAACTTCCAAAACAACTGTGCCATGCAGCTGAGACCAGGCCCGACTTCCAACTTGTCCTTGAAGGGTAAGGGGACAGGATCACTGGGGTCCTTTGCTTTGCATCCTCAGAGGACCTAGCAAGGCCAACTCAGGTCAAGTTGCCTATAGACCTTGACCTCAAGAAACCACTTGCTTTGCCTAGTAGGCTCAAGGCCACTCATCAAGATAGGGTGGCCTGGGCCACTCACCCCTTGTGACTTAGCATTCTGCACTCCCATTGTCAGTGACCTGAACCCAGTCACCACAATAGGGCCTCTGATGCCTTGTGCATTGTCACTGACACCTAGACAAGGTCACAAACCCAGGGTCCTTCGGACTGCAGGTTGCCATGCAGCACAAGAGTCAGTCCCCACTCAAGAAGTATTCACTGCTAGGCATGGGACACAGCCATCCAGCACTAGGGAGGCAGAGCTAGGAAGATCTCAAGTTCAAGGCTAGCCTGGCCTAAATAATGAAACCCTATCTCAAAAACAAACAAAAATAAAACAGGGGTTGGAGGACTCCGCGATTAAGAATTTGTATTGTTCATCCAGAGGACCTGAGTTTAATTCCCAACAACCATGTCAGGCATCTCACAACCATGTGTAACACCAGCTCCTGGGGGATCTGGCACCTCTTCAGGTACCTGAAATTCAAGTGCACATACCCACACACAGACACGTATATATATACACATAAATTTTTTAAAATACAAAATGAAAATCTTTAAAAAAAAAAATAAGGCTGGGAATATAGCTCAGATAAAGTGCTTGCCTGGCATGGCCAAACCTCCAGGTTTGATCCCCAGCTCTGGTGTGGTGGCACACACCTATAAATCCAGCGCTACAGAGCTGGAGGCAAAAGGATCCATCAGAAGTTCAAGGTCATCTTCAGCTATATAGGGAATTTGAGGCTAGCCTGGGATTCATAAGACCCTATCCAGAAAGGAAGGAAGGAAGGAAGAAAGAAAGGAAGAAGGGAGGGAGGGAGGGAGGGAGGGAAAGAAGGGGAGGAGAGAGGGAGGGGAGAGGAAGGGAAATGGCTCCACAGGTAAAGATGCTTGCCACCAATCCTAATAATCTGCATTCAATCTCAGAGACCAAACAGTTGAAGGAGAGAGCTGACCTCTCCCCTTACATGACTTCTACATGGGTACTCTATGGCATACCACACACACACACACACACACACACACACACACAAATAAATGTAATAAAATTTAAAAAGAAAGAAAGAACCCAATAATAAAACCACAAACATACAAAAACATAAGAAACACTTATCTGAGCTGGGCATCCCAGTACTCAGGAAGCAGAGGCAGGCAGATCCCTGTGAGTTTAAGGTCACCCTGGTCTCCATAGCGAATCCAGGCCAGCTGGGCTACAAGGGGACCCTGACTCAAAAAGATAAAAATAAAAAATAAAAAAAAGGAAGGGAGGGAGGGAGGGAGGGAGGGAGGGAGGGAGAAAAACAGCTATCTGGTCTACATATCAAGTTCTAGGCCAGCCAAGGTGAGACATGGTGAGACCTTGTCTCAAGACAGAGAAAGAGAGACAGAGACAGAGACAGAGAAGCACTTTTCAAGCCCCCACTATACTCCAGACACTGAGATAGAACAGAACAGGCAAAATCTGTTCTATGATGAAGCTAGATTGTGACTCTGCTTTCTGTCAGGACACTGATTCATCACATGAAATGCTCTGCATACTTTCATGACTGGCCACTACCCAGGAAAATGTTGGCAGTTGTGACAATGTTTACAAAAATACAAGTGTGTGGGCTGGTGACCCAGCTCAGCAGGTGAAAGTGCTTGCCACACATGACCAACTACCTGATTTTGATCCCCTGACTCCACATTAAAAAAGCTAGACGCCTTGATGCACATTTATAATCCCAGTCCTCCCACACTGAGGTAGAAGGCAGAGACTGGGCGATCACCCAGAAGCTCTTGGGTCAACTAGCATGGAGTACACAGCACAGTAGTCACAAGAGAGACCCTGGCTCAGCAAGATGGTAGGACAGAAATGACTCAAAAAAGTTGTTCTCTGACCTCTACACACACATATGTTGGCACATGAGCACCTGAACTCACATACATACACTAAAAAAATATTTTTGGATGTAAGCCTGTTTATTCCATCTGGAGCATACTCCGAAAGGGAACAGGGCTATGCTGTGCTTCAATAAAACCATAATCCTGGACATTAAAGTTTGAATTCCAGGCCATTTTCAAATCTTGAAATATTCTTCAGGGTTTTTTTTCAACTAGTTAAAAATTAAACCTCCAAAAAGCAAAACTAAAATCTACTCTTGAGGCTGGGAAAATGGTTGTCTGTGAAGTTTCATCATACAAGCATAAAGGCCTGGATTCGGATTCACATCCCATGTTGACAGCTGGGAATG